TTCAAGTTGCCGACTGGGATTCGTACCCGGGACTCCAGCGTGGGAGTCTACCCCTTTGACCACTACACCACAACCGCTTCATTTCAGATGTCTTTACAAAACCCATTACGAATAAGAGAAGCTGTATTTGGTCTCGTAAAACAAGATTTTCTTAGACATTTTATGTCATTTGAAGAATTTTATTATTAATATAGCCTAACTACGTGACATAGATATTTGCAGCTGTTTGATAGCAAAGGTACAATAAATTAATTATTAATATAATATTCTCTTTATTTAGGCCTACTACACTTACAATTTTAAAATTATACGTCAGTTTTAAGATTTTGTTGCGTTATAATAAAATTGTACAATAGATGTACATATGTACAGGATTTTGTCATCTGGGTTCAAATCTGGATACTTTATTACTTTACTACTAATTACTTTAAATGAGAAATGCCTATATTATCTGCCCCCCACTGTACCACATTTCAACTCAATCAGTTCAGTAGTTTGTGCTTCCGAGAGCAACAAGAAAATACACAAACTCACAAACTTTAAGATTTATAGTATTATATATATTATAAGAAGTGTTTGAGAGTCCAGTTACAAAATCCAAATGTGGCAACTATTCCTTATAATAATTCCAGTTATTGTCAAAAACTCATTTATACATGAGCATAAATGGAAAATTATTATTCCGTATATGAGTAATTTAATTCCATACCTGGGAGTCATATATGGCCATATAAAGACCACGATTCCATATATGGAGGATATTTATGGCCATATATGGGCAATAATTTCATATATAGAAAACATGTATGGCCAAATATGGACAATCATTTCATATATAGAAAACATGTATGGCCATATATGGCCAATAATTCCATATATAGACTACATATATGACCATATATGGACACCACCATATATGGATACAACCACATCTGGCCATATCTGCTTCCATATATGTCCATAAAAAACCATATATGGCTTTATGAAACCATATATGGAATTTTGATATGGCCATATATGGCCAGAAATTACTTTTTTATAGGGGCTTGCCTTCAGGTTAGCTCGTTCGCTACGCTCACTCGCCTCCAGGTTGATTTTCGTTCGCTACGCTCACTCACTTTAATGCTATTGAACATCATAGAACAGAACCAACTTGTTTAATTGAAACAGCTGTTAAGATTCATTAATTCCATTTCTCATAAGGTTAACATGGGAAACTCCAGAGCCACTGGGGCAGAGCCCTTTTAAGAATTTCGAAACGGGAAATAGTTTACATCCGATTCGCATACCTACAGAATTTACACACCAAATTTCATAACGATCGGTGAAGTCGTTCCGGAGGAGTTTGCAGACAAACACTGTGACACGAGAATTTTATATATTAGAAGAAAGATATATGTAGTGTATTCGCCATGTACACAGTACCACTCATATCTGAGCAGTTTGAAACCCACCTTTATAATTCATTTTGATACAGTAGCCCCTAAACCCTTAGTTCTAGATGACATGATTATATTTAGGTAATAACACTAATACTCTAGTTATTGACTGATTATTCTGCCTAGTGTAGTGTTTAATAATTCCCACAAAACAGTTACTAGGGACAGCCTTTTCCTAAAACAAGACATTTTTTGTATAAGACAGTTTCTAGTTCGACAGGGAAATTAAAAATAAATAAAGCAACAAGAGCATTGGTATTGGTAGAACTTCCTTGATTCGCTCTACTTTCACATTTTCAATTCTATTGTAAATCTGTATGTTTATTTTTTAGAGGAAGAGTTTTTGTCTTTCCTGGACACATTCTTTGAAAAGTTCATTTTTCTATTATGTGCCATAAGATTTCCCGACTGCATTCAGGTAGTTTATTGATCACACAGGTATATATATATAAACTTTAACAACACCAAAGGTGGAGTGTATAGATAGTGTCAATCAGAGTGGCATGCGGGATGTGCAAGTCCACAAGAACCATTCTTCCCAACCATGGTTTCTTAATTTCGTGCAGTGGATTAATTTAATATCCGTCCTTTGGTGTGACGCTCTGCGCTCTCTGTTCTCATCCCTCCAAACACGCCATCCTAATTCACACGGTATTTTCCAGGTCCAGAAAAAGAAAAAAATAATAGTGTAGAAATACAAAAGTTAAATTTATGTATTTATGTGAAAAAGATTGATCTCCACAAAGCCAGTTCCAAGGTGAGAATAATGCCTAACTTAAGTCATTGATTATCGTATGATATCAGGCATCCATCTCTACAAGAAAGGCAGTAACAGCACTCATTGACTATGTCTGTTCCTCAGATCGAGATAAGCTCCACACCTACCAGACACATCATCTATTTGTACTATAGTTCCACATACATTAGAACTTTCAATAATTACTCCTTAGATGGTAAAAAACAACACTGGAATAATTCTGTAATATTCTAACAGATTCTATCCCACCAATGTTTGTCAACATCTTCTGCTTAGTCTTGATATCAGCACAACTAATTATTTAAAGATCCTCTCACAGAATGTAAACACCGAATTGGGAAAATAACAACTCCATTAATGTCCTGGAAAATATCATGCATGTCCTGATTTGTGAATGAAAACCTCCTTTTCATGCCTAATCCTATAATTGTGAGTAAAATCGAATAATTTAATGTTAAACTTTGTTTCAAGTTAAAGTGTCAGCCGCAAACCACCTTAGAAATAGTAAAATTAATAGAATATGTATCTTTGTTCTAAAAAAAGAAAAAAAATGTAAACATTTTGTTTGTTATCTTTATGCATCAGTTGGACCTCGCTGAAAAGTTTCTTAAACTTGGGTAGGCCAAGCTGTTGAAGTTTCTTTAAATATTTAAATTTTAAAAACTGTTTACATAATGTGTTAGCATATTACCACTTTTTGTATTTACCTTTCTGTAAAAAGAACAAAAGTCTAGTATAAACAGTTTTGATAATCTTTTAAAAGAAAAGATTTTTCGTTTTAAGCCTTTATGTAGTGCAAAAAAAAAATCTTCAATAATATTACAGGAGCACTCTGGGCTCAATTGCATTGATCTGTTAATTTTGACTGTACATTTGCACTGATCAAAAAATTACATCTATTTTGATATTTTGTTGCAATGCAGCAAGATAATACCAGTCTTGGTTTTAATGGCATACATAGTACATTCATCAGTTTTAAACCCAATGTAATCAATGTTGGATGAATTATCGTGTCTTGTGGCAAAAAAATCATTCTCCAAGTACTATGTGTAAAAACCTGTTTATAATGTCAAACCTTTAAGATTTTCCATTAGTAAGCTATAACATCTTTTAAATCACATCTGATCTCTGCAATAAAAACAAGGCAGAAAGTTGAATTTTAACAGTAGTAAATTCTGAGGCTCAATCGACTATGTTATTTTGTATGAGTAAGTATAGGCTACAACTTGGCATACAGATGTCCCATGACATCCCCCGCCAGACTAGTCTATTTCAGTATTCAAAAGTCCTCTGATGTTGAGCCCTCGGTGTTGTCGACAACATCTGTTCTAGCAGCATCCCGATGTAGTTGCTGAAGTCTCCACCAGCTCAGCACAGCAGCACTGTATGATCCATCCCTCCCACCACCCTCAGCTACCTACGTCATCGAGCGTGGAATGTCCAAGTATAATGCTACATTCAGCAATTAAATGTGTTTCCATATACACTTGCTAGATAATGTATTTGTACCCTAGCTACATTGTATGCATATGCAATACCAAAGCACATACATTACATGAGTATTTCAAGACTTTTATACATGTGTATGTATTTGTTTATGCGTTTAAGAGTTAAGTTATACGTATTAGTGCGGTCAAGTATGTTTAAGTAGTTATAATTGAAGAATAAATCACAATATTTTCCATGGCTAAATAAACTTGTGAATAAAAATAGACATCCTCAGCCTTAAGGAATAATGTTATATCAAACCAAATTGTTTTTGCAATAAAATCGAGCAGGAAAGTTTTTCCTTTGTACATTTTTGCACTTACTATTTGCAGTTTTTGAATTAATATATGTATCATAACTGATACCCTGCCACCTCCTGTTTATCAGGAATTAAATATCACAATAAGTTTCATAATCTCATCGTAATCTTGATAGCTTCCTTTGGCATTCCTTAGATCCTCCTCCTTTAGTGCCAGGGAAATCTCAATAAACTTAGAACACTCTGTACTTATATGTAAGCATACTAGTATCGGTTCTTATAGTTTTTTTTTTTATTTATAATACCTTATTCTACCTTCTGAAATATTTATACCTAATCTTCTATCTACTTTAAATCGCACTGTCATATTCAGTTAAAATAGCATTGGTTAGGAGTGACAAAATTTAACAACATTAAACTGTTTAGGTAATCAGTTATTCAAGTTAATTGTGTTACTATTCATATAAAACAGCAACACACAATTGATTACTTTAGAAAATATTCCACTCAATCATATATTGTGTTGTAGGGGTGCAGGGAAAGTATCGATCAGATGTCAAATGAATTTGATCTTGTCAATCTATTTTAAAGCACAATCATCCTGTCTTTCGCAATCATTTCATTTTGTTATTGACATCTTTCACCAGACGACTTAAAGTAATAAACAAATATATTTATAAACTCTAGGTATGTTTAAACCACATACAAATTTTGAATATGTTCAATATGTAGTAATGATAAGCAATGACAAGTCAGATAATAATTTTGGTATAAACAACATTTTATTTTTCATTTAAAACTTGGGACTACTTAGAGTCACCACTACTTTAAAGCAAGATCTTTATAGGGAAAATTTCCTTTCAACCTCACATTTTTCTAAAGAAAATAGATTATAAGGTAATTTAGACTAAGTTTGAAAACTTAGAATGTAGCTATCTTTACACAACAAAAATCAGGTTTCTTTCGTATTACTGTGTCACAATGGAAAGTCCACAAAAACCTTATGAATCAGATGAAAGAGGGATTAGGAGGATAAATAAAGAAGACAGAATGCTCTTAACAGGAACGTACGTTTATTTGCACTGAGCATAAAAGAGGAAAGCTAACACAGGAATAGCGCCCGTCCTTGTAACAGGTCTGCGCGCTGCGTCTCGACGGTATCCTTTAATTTTGATTTTCAGCGATCAAATCGGACTCCCCGTCTTTGAGAGGTAGAGCCCGTTAATAAATCTGTTGTTTTTGCGCGTTTTGTGCGTGAAACTAACATGAGAAGCAATATAAATACTGAATGAAGAAGCAATACATACATAAATGGCACGAGATTGAGACGCAGTCACGGCAACGGGCGCTATCCAAGGTCTACTGTGCCGAATATAAAACAATCGATCCGATGGAATAATTAAATTACGGATTTTCACAATTTACGGAGACATATCTTTTAAAGATCGACAAAATAATTAAATTTACATCGAGATTAAAAACGAAGGTTTTTAAAGCGATAATGCAAAAATATATCTAGCAATCGAAAAGGTAAACACTATCAGGGACTCGTGACTTGAACTCAATCGAACATACATATTATCGATATTCGTTGGAAGATCTAACCATTCACGCCTGAATTAAATATTTCGAGGGCTGTTCCTTTCTCTAATTAAATCTATATTTCAATATAAAATCTTTCATTCTATTTATTTATTTCTCAAAAACATTCAAAGCATCACATATATATTATAACTATATTATTTACCGTACAAACGTAACTCGCACTCGGCACATTCGTTCTCCACTCGCGGCAGTTTGATTTTTACATGCGTCTCATAGGTTTGTACAAAAACTTACGAATACTAAAATATCGACAAAGATAATAATACGCTTTAAAGAACTATAAGACATCGTCGAAACATCCGGAATTAATCGAAATGCGAAAACACAATGAAGAGGAATGCATATACGAGAAAACACGATCGAATAAAGACGAAAATAACTATCGATAACGCTTTGGCCTCTTACGATACACATACGAATAAAAATTTAAAAATATAACATCCAAAACCGTATCGTTGTACGAGCGAGAAATTATACTCAGTCGGAGAGGTATTCCGAACGAACACTTATTCAACAATAATAATACTAAACCGACAATCGCGTCATCGCGCTCGTCATCACACGTTACATCAGTATCAAAAAGTAGTTTACCTTTATTTAAAATATTTAACAATTTATCCTACAACAATTCGCTATCCCCTATCCAACAAGAATTCCACTAGCTCCGCTCGGACGACCTCGAGAACGAAACGCGACGAGACGATGAAAAGACTAGGATTAACAAATGTAAATTTGGCAACGAGAATTGATGTTAAAAATGACATCAACTACAGTGGAGAATGTCGATCACAGAAGAAGGCCCTGGCAGTGCTCGGGGGCGGGTGGCAGACGACTGCTCGGTGTTAGACGTGCCTCTTCATGTGCAGCGCGAGGTGGTCACTCCGGGAGAAGCAGCGGTCACAATGGCGACATTTGAAGGGTTTGGCGCCGGTGTGCTTCCTATAGTGGCGGGTCAGCTCGTCACTGCGGGCGAAGCTCCAGCCACAACCTTCCCACTGGCACTTGTACGGCTTTTCACCTGAAACAGAGACAAGCAGTTACTAGTGTCCAGGAGCAACAGTACTGCTGAAGCTCCAGGGATATTAAACAAGTATCAGCATTGACATATGATCATATCTTCGTTGGCATATGGTCAAGCTGAAGTTTCAATAAACACTTGGGCTAAGGAAGGGCATGTCCTGTACAAAATGCAATTATTAAACTATTCTGTAAATATGACTTCGACTGTCTAAAGAGGAAAGAAAACACCCGCGTAAGAAACGCAATCAACTAAAACTAGAATTGATATCAATCACGCTATGTATCATAAGCCAAGTCTCAACAGTTGGTAGCATTGAAAACAATGTATTGTTTACAGTTTGAAGGTTGGCAGACTGCGCGTCGCGGTTTCCAATAAACCCTGCAGTGATTTAGTTCCAATCACGGCGCGTCGTCGACGCGTTCCCTTCATCCCGACGTACGTGAGTCTGTCTTCACACAACCCCCGTGAGATACAAACACCCCTGTATACTGCTGAGTAGACTAAACCAGCAGGGGAAATACTTACATAATCAATAGGCATATTTGGGAAATTCACAAAATACTATTTACCCTCGATAATTTTGGTTGATTTAGAATACGATTCCTATATCGTAAATACATACCGGTAGAACGATGATAATCATCATTGCAAGTACACCACTGTGATATCATTTTAAAGTAAATATGTATATTCAGAACAACCCTGGTGGTCATTTTCGTAAGGTATGAGTATATATGCTCGAACCTACAAGAAAGGGTACTTACTTACTTTCCGTGTCCGGAAATCAGACTTAGCTTCCCCAAGAAATAGCTACCGATATGGCTTGTGCGATATGACGAAAAAGGGTTATCCCTAGTCATTCATTAAACTATTTCGTAGGCAGTAGGCCAATGATCAAAATCCTTTATGAACTATAAATGTATCCTAAACAGATTTAGGTAAGGAGAGCTTTTTTAAAACCTTGACATTCTAGGAAGCTAGGCATATTACGTCATGGGTGGGGTGAGGGGGATAATAGCCCGGGCATATTACTTCAGGGTCCCAGAGGGTTGCGGCATTAACGCATAGATAAAACCCATAGGTAATGGCGGCATTTTCCCCCGTGCTCCACCACTCAACCAAAAGGAGCTGGTTAGGTTTGGTGAGCTTTGGGTTAGGTTAGGTTACGGTCAGTAGCTACCCGCGGCGATACTTCAGCCTTTCTAAATTTGAGGAAGGCCTCACTAGAAAAACACCTGAGACAGATAATATAAGAGACATAATACCAATCGGAACGGCTTTAAATGATGTCTTAACTTGATTATTAGTTAAACCAACCAGTATAGACATTGGGGATAGTTAAGGATTTTTACTGGTAGTTCGTAATAATGTTATAAAAACAAACATGTCGTTGCGTCGACGGATTAAATAAGTTTCTCTTTGAACAAAATCAACAAGGATGAACATGTTGGCAGCGTTGGAGCCTCGGAAGTGACTCGAGACACGACTGAGTGACATCGTGGCTTACTTTGTTGCCTGTTGTCCAAATTCCGCGGTCAAGCTTACATCAACAGAGTTTTTCGTTGCTATTTCCTCCGGTGTATTTTAAAACTTAGGACTGAAACATAAAATTTTGGTTGAAAAATATTTATTCTGTGACAAGAAGAACTAGTCAACAACTATAATCATGCAGCTTTTGATCTTAGTAACGTGTGAAAATAATGTGGTGTTAAGTAGTATAAATTTGTTATGAAAAGTGAATCATTGATGCATTTATGTAGATGACATAGAATAAAAACACAAACACAACAATAGTTTAAAAGTGTTTTGAACTATATAGACCCTTTGAAATAAGGGACCTTGAATTATTGGATACAATGCTCTAGTGTTAAAAACGTTTAACCAAATTGTATGGAAGAACTGGACTTTTCTGAAACAAATGTGCCAAATTAACATAGTCAGTGCTTATGGTTGAAAACCTTAGAAGGGAACTTAATTGTTGGCCGTTTCAAGGAGGAGTGAGATACGCGTATTACTATCTGGATTGCGTATTTTTCTTACAACATGCGTGCATAATGATACATTTAAATCTTAGACGCTTATAACCAAAAACTCCTTTTATTTCAAAGCTGTACTGTGCAAACCTTTCGCAACTGTGTGACCTTCATAACTTTTCAACACAGATTGACACCATAACAAAATATCTCAGCGTGTGCGAGCCGTTTTCCAAACATATTTTTCAGGGGTGTTTTATCTAGTTTTAAGGGAGCCACGGAAGGGGTTAACGTTTGGTTTACTCATCGGGCCCAAAACAACCCTCTTCCGCCCCATTGTACCTTCCTTGCACCCGCAACTCTCAAGTAATCATGTTATTTCTAGGATCCAACCCCTACCAGCCCCTGGATGTTCACAGCCACTTGTTAAGGCACTTGGGGTTATTCACTGTTCCTCGACATCATTTTTTAAACTTTTTGGCTGCGATAAGTTATATTCATGGGTTACGTTCTACTTGGATATGCGTTCTACAATTTCGAAACGGTCTGAGAAGTTGTTTGCGTACATCCATTTGACGTTAAATTCAATTTTTACACCTTGCGTTATTCAAATAAAATTGAGTTATTTCTCAAAGTAGTTTGGACAATTTTCAACAATATGCAAAACGTATTCTTTAGATTTTGAAAGGTTTTAAAAAATGTAGCGTCTAGTCTAGACCAGACAACACTAGAGGTAGAATGAATACTTATTCCCTAGAGTCACGGGTTAGAATCCATCCAACTACCAATGTTTTTTTGGCTACACGATTAAACAACCCGATGGATCGTTACCCCGACCTTTAGACTGTGAGTCAACCTGAAAAAGGTTCTCCGAAACGAGAAGAACATTACGTTATTACAATAAATACTTGACTACCATCTTTTAGTAATATCTTTGACTATTAATACTATTGAATGGTATTTTGGTTGGTGATAAAGTTTGAAATAATATTAAAAAATATATGCATACAACATACTAATCTATTTTCCAAAGTTAGTTACATTTCAGTCCGTCCATGTAACGCCGAGTTAGAGTAAATATTGTCGAAGCTGATTGCCCACTAGAAGTTTACAATGGCGAATTTAAATCAGATAACTTTTTTAATATCAGCATATTACAAACAGCTAAAGTCTAGACGAAACGCTTGGCTATGAAACGTTAGACAATTTTAAATAACAATACGGTATACTTAATCCGTTTTAAATATTGAAAGAGTTACTAACGTAAGCGGTATTACTAACGGGTTATACAAACTACCGTCGATACAAGACACAGTGTATGCAAAGAACGTGAAAAGGGAGAGAAAACAGGGTAAATTAAATCACGGGGCGAAGTGCAACACAATGTTCCCTGTTGGCGAAGTTTATCAATAATTTTGGGGCCGTATTCTAAGCAGTCGGCATTGTAGGAAACTTGTATCCCGGCTCCGTTCTTTATACAGGAAGCTTTTAATAATTTAAGACCAAAGGGTAGGGGAAGAGGTTAGATGGGCCCTCCAGGGACCCATAAGCCCGGGCTGTTTCGGAAAAATTCCGCGGGAAGATTCACATACACGTGGCCCGACTGCGCCAGTAATTACGACTTTGCAAGTAAACTTGTTACACAGAGTTAGAGAGATGAAGATGCGTCTTTAGCGACGAGAACCAACCACATTCGAGCGGCAGTGGTTTAATATACCAAGCAAGCCGGGTAAAAGCTCGGAGCTGCATTTCCAAAACGACTCCGCGTTCATTAATTATTTAAGCGACATAGAGAGCAGCGGAAGAAGCGGAAATAACGTGTTTGTAATGCGCAGCCAGTACGGTGATGGATATTTACATTTTATTTATATTTCTACAAATGCAAACTAAAACACCACCGTGTATGTGTTAGTTGTTTATACTAAATAACTAAATAAGCTGTTCTGTACAGTTATTTACATAAACTTGATTGGACCAATAGTGGTAGTTAGGGCTACGTTTTTCGAAAAGAAATTTAACAAATTATTACCTGATTATTTAAACTATAAAACCTATTTTAGATGAATTAATTTTACTAGAGTATTCCAAATACTGTAATAGTTAAATTTCGGATGTCAAAACATGAAAAATACTTCCAACACCTAACACTTATCCCTACTCAAAATCTATTTCCATAGCTAACTCGTTTTAAGTTCAAAGAGAAATAAATCAATGAAGTTTTCAATAACGTAATAAAACCTCAATCAGTAACAGTAGAAGCAAACATCAAACGTTCATCTAAAGGAATTGTGCTCTGGAGATCAGTGGATATTATAATGTAAACGTACACGCGGTCAACATGAAGCTACTACGCTGAGCGAGAATTGTAGGAATAATTCAATAAAATCGGCCGTGTTAGTTGCCAAAGGCGCCGACAGATGTAGCTGGGGTAACGATCGACCACTCACAGTCTGGACCATCCAAACATCATCCCACAGGTTAAAAATCCCGCGGCTTGTCATTAAATATCCCTATTTATCCCAACATTATGATATGTTTCCCTTGTGTTAAGAACCTCAAATTCAGATCAGGAAGATTATACTAGTACTGTGGGCAATGTAATTTATATTTTGTGACTGCAAAGTAACTGATTCGTGATGTAGAAAATAATTGGAACTAAGTTACAATGGATTATTTAGATGATTAGTTGTACCATAGATTTCTTATGTTGGGGACTTAAGAGTGAAATAGTACAAATAAACTATCTCGATACTTTGTACCATTAGGAGACCAGAGTTCTTTAACATACGGTATGTTGGATTACATCTACAGACTATGCATATTATACCATTACGAAACGTGTTTGAGGCTGAACCTGAATACCTTTGGACCAATAATAGTGCAATATTGTTCATTTTGAGGTTATGCTGAGTAGTAATTATAAATTATGCGTATATACGTACAGAACGTTTTTAAGGCAGGATATAGATGTTTCTAGTCCCATTCGAGCGATATATACAATAATTTGAGGTTTTGATGCAATCT